TTCTTGTACTAATGTGGTGGTTTTTTCCACTGTTTCCTTCAAAGTACGCTGAAATGCAGTGTGTCTAAACGGCGCCACACAAGCTGAGAAACCTAAAAGACTAGAAAATGCGGTTAGCATAAAGACACATTTACATGTTGGTGTCTTTCACAATATGCAGCCGCCAACAGGTTTTCGTACAGGATTGTTTAATATTCAGCTCCGACCAGATTCTCTTGCCTCTGCTTGAGGAGAGCATTCCCACATTATGATGCTGCCGCCACCATGTTTCACCATGGGGACGCTGTGTTCTGCCACAGACATTGTTCTGCATGTACGGTTTAAAAAAAAAAAGAGTTCAACTTTAGTCTCAGTGCCTCCTTTATTAACTTCTTGGCACGTTCTTCCATTAACCCTTCCGGACCGAACGGAGCCAAATTTGCAGTATCGTAATTCAGCCACATTTTCCTCTAGCTGCAAAAAATTACATCAGTTTCTGAAAGGGGGGACATTGCGCTTTCCAGCCAATATTGGGTTAATACGGTAATTTCACCCCCCCCCCCCTCCCCCGAGGGGCCGTCTTCTGCGAAAATAACTTGTTAGACATTGAAAGTTCCAGTTGTTATTGATAAATGGGAAAATATATATTTGCTTCTCTTAACTGCGTACAATTAAGAAGAGCAGAAATATCCAGGTGGAGATTTGAAACGTGAGCCTTTTAAAGTTTTAGTTGCACCACCAAAGGTTGAATCTCTCCCACCTGAGCTTTGGATCTATGCAGCTCCTCTCACGCACCTTTTTGTCTGTTTGCCGGGAGCTGAACACAAATACATGTGACAATGTCCAGACTGTATGTTGTAACAAATTTGAAAACCGTATATGCTTTCCCTCCTCATGATGTAGTTATAAACCACTCAGTACTGGATCATCAGATAAAAATCGATAGAAGTTTGTGGTTGCGACATGATGAAACTGCAACTGTGAGATCTGTGCAAGGGTAGTGAGCGTTTTTGGAAGCCGCCATTCCGCCTAGTAACAAATGTTTTTTGGCAGCGGCTGTCCACGATTTCCTTTTCCTCTCCCCTTTTCCAGAGGGCACATCTGTCAGCGTCGGCTGTTGTCAGCATGTCTCCGTGTTTCCTCGTGGTCTGTTGTGTCACTTCCTCTCAAACACAGACGTCCTTCGCCGTCTTCTGGGGACTCGGCCGTCGTGGCCGCACTGGCCGGGCGCCGGTCAGAAGAGTTGATCAGAAGAGTTGAATGGACGCAAACGCCATCGGAACCCATCAGAGAGGGCTCTTAAAAGTTTCTTGGTTGCTGAACTGTCTGTCATTAAAAACGAGAAGGCAGTTTTGTTTGAGCTTTTTTTCCCTCTTTTTTTTCTAATTTTGCCCCATTTTCTCAGGCCTCTCCTCCTTCCTCTTCTGCAAGTCACCGATCCATTTGCATTCGGCGATCACGTGCGACCGGCTGCTCACTGAGAAGCTGGGGATTTTGCGGCGCGAAGGAACGAACGAGATCCGACGAGTTGGAAGATGGATGCGGCAACAACAGCCACTCTCCTCTTCCACTCAGATCCACTGCTCCTTCCATTTGGATATTTGTGGAAGTGTCGTCCTTTCTGCTCTGTTTATATTCAACTTTTTTCTCTCCTATGTTCCAGACGGATGAATCTGGAGTAAATGAGAAAATTGCTTATTTCTTTTCTTCTTTTTTTTTTTTCTTTAAGGCAGTTGAGATGAAACATCAATAAAAGTGAAAGATAGAACGTGTGTCCCAAGCAAAAAAAAAAAAAGAAATTGGAATATTGCCTCTATCATGATTACTTATCAACCCCACTGTATTGCATTTCTGCAATACTGGCTGCGTAATGGTGTCTGCAAAAGTCAATGAATCCTCAGAAATTATGTTTCATTGTTGCCATGGAAGTGGCAGCATCGGCCGACTCCGTGTGATGGATGTCAAATAACGCCAAAGCCCTGAGCCTGTATTGGGGTTATCTATACAGCCGCACATATAGACAGGGGATGATGAAGCTGGGGGGAAAAAACCCCAATTATTATTATTTTTTGGTCAACTTGTTTTGTTTTTTTTTTTTATACATCTCTCATTTCAGCTTGTCTTTACAGTCATCCGCCCACGGTCGGGTCCGGAACCGAGACGACAATGCAATAACGGCCCGTGGAGAGATTTCAGTTATCATTGTCTGGCAGACGGAAGCCCATGAAAAATTAAAAATCTCCGCAGGCCCAAGGAGTCAACTTGTCCATACAGATCGGTCGGTGCAAGACAGATCCCAAGACACTACCCCCACCCCACGACCCTTAGAGTTAAACAAACGAGGTCCTATCTAGCGGCCCGCTGCTTGGCTCCACACAGCTTCCCATGTGCAGAATAGTAATTAACTGCAGAGCTGTGCATTTACAACTCTGACGTCGGGGGGAGTGCAGGGGGGAGAAACACCCGATTCTGAGGCTCGGTGATGAGGATGCGTAGCCGTCCTCCCTGTGGGGGACATGTAATATTTAACAGTAAGCAACTGCTAACCTAATCACAGCACATCCCTCCTGGCAACTCCCATGGCGTCGTTGCAATGTTTCTGCCAGATTCCTATGGAGAGTGTGCTGCGCTCAGCAGAGAGCGACTTAAGCATCCTTCAGCCAATGACAACAGCGTCACTTTTCACGTCGCAGTCGGATGTTTTTAGATCAGCCCGACTTGACTTGCGTCTGCGGCGCCACGTGAGATCAGCGGGCGTTAACTTCTCACTCATTCCTCGAGCCTTTCCAACCGACCACTCACCGGACTTTTACAGTAATAAGAGACACGCAAAGCAAGGCGCGCCTGACAGCAGATCCTGACGGACGGATCAGGGGATTTGCCCGGTTGTCAAGGTGTTGGGCTCAATAACTTCACCGGACCAAACGCTGCTGTAGACAACAGCCCTGCTGCAATAAGCCAGAATCTGTGATGGTCAGAGAGAGAGCCTGAGGACCTGAATACAAACTAACAGAAGACACATTTTGTGGGCTTTCTGTATTGTGCGAGCAGCTAATTTGGTGCCTTCAAAGCTCATGTTTCCTTGTTGCCTTAAACATATCGGCACCCTTTCGGGTCATAAAAATATCGTTTGTTACACAAACGTTTGAGGAAACTCCAAGCTTTTCAATTAGAGCATAAAACAAACTTACATTGAGAAGATAATGTTTGTAACATGATGATTGATGCAAAAGCTCAATAGAATCCCCCCTTTTTTTATATCCCCGTTGGACAATAATTGAATCTTCTACTGTAGCATTTACCACACAGACGGATCTTCACTCCATGTTCTCCTCAGCTGACAGTAAAGGTTTCCTATCAGAGCAAAGTCAATGGGTGACAAGGACCATGGGTGAGTCTTTGTTCGATTTTGATTTGCCCAATGATCTTCAGTGGGTCTTTTATGAACTCCTGTGGACAGAGTCCACAGAGTCGACCCGTCAGGCCTGCAGAAGTTTGGTTTGATCATATTCTCAGTTTCAGTGGCAGACTCCACCATGTTTCAATTTAAAATCCTCCTCACCTGTCGAGCTGTTTTAAGATGAGAGAGAGGCCCCCGACATCACACATCCTCTTCCATGCCTAACTGTACCTAGGTTACTTTTCGGCGTACCCATATTTCATTTCACGTCAAATCTCCCTAAATCTTCAGTCTTCGGCTCACTTCACCAAAGAACAGAAAGCTCCGGTTACATTTTCAGGTGGGACAGGAAGGCAGAAGACAACCACTCTCCATATATCTAATGACTGCTGCAGAGACTCTGCGACCCCAATACTCTACAGTTTTGGTGAGGTTCTGTCACAGGGAGTTTTCTAGATTGTTCTACCTTCCTCACCGTCCCACTCACTATGCGTGGTGACAGAATATATATGGCCCCTATTCCAGAGGAAAATGGGCCTCGCTGTCATATCATGTTTATACCTTCAGGGAAACAAAAACTCACAGATTGTTGCTTAAAAGTTCCTTAAAAACTCAAAAAGTAAGGCAGGAATAAATACTTTTTAGTTTGACGGATTTGTTAGTGGTTGTGTAATGTTTCAACTAATGTTGACGGCTTTGTATTTTTGTGGGGGGTGTTTTTTGTGATGTAAAACATTTTGAACAGCCTTGCTGCTGAAAATTTGACAAAATGAAAGTGAACAATTAAATTTGTTCACTTTAATTGTGCTGTCTCGTCTGTGGGTGAAATTTATTGTTACAGATCATTTAAAGTGAGGAACAAAAAGCCACCTTTCTAGTGGAAACTAAACTAAAGCTGCAAGCAGCTGTACAAATAAACTTGATTAATTTATTGCACTGCAGAATTTGCCAAATTGAGCTGGTTTTTGCAACCAATAGTAGAAAAAATGAAGGATTATATGAAGAAGAAGAAAAAAAGCACCAAACGTCCATCGTTAGGTACAGTAGGGAACCTGTGACTCATAATATCAATATATTATGACGCCAGTCATTTTGAGACAAACAACTAACATTTCCTAACATTGGTTTCCATATGCACAGATTTACATATTCAGAGTAGATTCATGCCGACACAACGGATTACTAAACATCAGCAGGTCGCAGCATCAACTTGATTTTTCGCAGCATCACCACATGTTTGGTCTGGTTCATAACTTTCGCCTTCATCCATTTACTTCCATCATCACCACTGCGACCGCGCGGGTGAGTTACCGTCACTCCAGATGCACACAAAGGAGGTCAAACAGTTCGGTTCTGATTCTTATCTGAAATGACTGCAATTTTAATAACAGAAGCATCATCTCACACAAAAAACTCGCCTGTTGTTGTTTTTGTTTCCTCCCAGGCAGTTTTGCCTCCACCAACCGGGATTCAGCCAAACCCAACAGAGTAGAGATGTTTTTAAAATAAACAAGTAAATGATAATAATAATAATAATAATAATAATAATAATAATAATAACTACTCCTCAAGAGCACGCTTGCTGCTTTTTTGTTGTTGTTTTGATTCAAGAGACACCTACCGCCTGCCGTTTACTGGAGCTCCACAGCAGAGTCCCTACTGGCTCCAAGGACTTGAAGAGAGAGAGAGAGAGAGAGAGAGAGAGAGAGAGAGAGAGAGAGAGAGAGAAAGGAGAGAGAGGAGAGAGAGAGAGAGAGAGAGAGAGAGAGAGAGAGAGAGAGAGAATAACAATCCTCTGAGAGGTTAAAAAAAGAAAAGGAATAAAAGCTGCTGCGTCTCCACTTGAGCCTCTCCTCTCCTCCTCCGCTGTCTGTCCGTCTCTCTGTCTGAGCAGCGGCTCACAGCCTGGCTGCTGGACGCTGAGGGGATGAAACTGGAACGTCAGCGACGATGATGCTCCACTCAGACTCTGATATTGTTATGCGGCTTTTGATTCCTTCTGGGGGGTTTTTTCCCCCCCTGCCTCCACCGGATGCTCTCCACCAATAATGACCCGCTCTTCTAATTATCCGCGCTTGAATGGACTCCCGCCCCCTTTTCTCTCTCTCTCTCTCTCTCTCTCTCTCTCTCTCTCTCTCTCTCTCTCTCTCTCTCTCTCTCTCCTTCATCTCTTTATCTCTGAGCTTGATTAAAACAGAAAATAAAGGGGTGGAGGGAAGAGGGGAGTTAGTGAAGGGGTTGTTTCCATATAATTTATATATATATATAGTTCCAATTTGTTCACTTTAATTGTGCTGTCTCGTCTGTGGGTGAAATGCATTGTTACAGATCATTTAAAGTGAGGAACAAAAAGCCACCTTTCTAGTGGAAACTAAACTAAGCTGCAAGCAGTCTGAACGACGGCATAACCTAGGGGCGCAGTGGAGTCAAATTACCGCTACCTGTGGAAGCGTCATGCTGTGGTAGGGTTTTTTTTTCTCCATCCTGATTGACAGGAAGGAGAAATGTGAGAGAATCCGAGAAAAGAGAGGTGGGGAATTACCTTGGCGGCCGGGTCTGAGGCGCATTTTCCAGCAGTACGACAGTAAAACGCACAACGGAGAAAAAAACCTCGCTTTTGATCAAACGGGTTGGTTTGAATGCACAGGTCAAAGTACAGGTGTAAATCAAAGTAAGATTCTGGACTTCATGCCTGCTTTTCTGACCAAGCTGGAGGTCTTCAACGCATGGCGGCGGATCGTCTCAGTTCCGGTGAAAGAGACGGTTGACCCGAGGGAGCTTTCAAACACTTTAGTTGTTCAAACATTTTGTTTTTCTATCTGGTCCCTCGCAATGAATTCAAAACCAAAACAAAACACGTCATTTGCAGCAAAAATCTGACAAAATCTGAAAAAAATAAATAAACTAACGCGGTATCCAACGCTTTCACGATGCCTTGGACATGCAGACGTCTGGTTCATTTGCACTATTGCTGAATATGTTTAAATCGCCCGCTTCATACACTCTTGATTTTAAGCCTGACACTTATGACGTTACGCAGAAACGGCTGACTTACATCATCTCACTGACCGGATGAACCCAAACTCCTCTACCGGTAATTCATCATCCTTTCTGCTTGTAGGACATATTGTCTAAATCCAGGGGGAAAATACAATCAAACATGTAAATTGTGGTTGAGTTTTAATAGCTCCCTCTGAGGGAGAATCGCAATCGTATTCTTTCAAAACAAGCTTCTGTTTGATTTGAACTGAGTCCATCCATTGGCCTTGAGCTGCGCTAACAGCTCTTCAACAGCATTTTAATTACGTCTTTAAAAAAACAGTGAAACGTGACATGAACAGCTCAGGTCACTTAGCACACACGCTAATTTAATTGCAGTTCAAGCTGACGCTCATTCGTTTGGAATACGGTTTCCGTCTATGTTGCACAAAGAAGTTACGTCTGACTCTGCTGCATAGGGCCCGAATCAGTCTCCAGTCACAATGCAGCCCACTAATGAGCCTGTTAGCATTCAGATTGCTGGACGTGACGGTGTTGAGAGACTTTATGCAATCTTCCTAATGGATACCTGGAAAGCTCCCTGACAAAAAAAAAGACAATATGTGTTTTTTGTTAATTTGTTCGACGTGTCGTTTTGTTAGAAAATGCATGTAATAAGAGTCGCTCGCTTCATTTTAAAAAAAAATTCTGAATGCAGAAAAAAAATAGAAGCATTGACACATTTTATTAAATTCAGTTTTGTTTACACTGATTCAGTTTCCAACGATCAGTCACAGGACGGCGCAGAACCAAGGCGGTCAGCGTAGTTTCATTCCAGTACGTTCAATCCAGATTTGAACCGAGTTACAATCAGTCTGGTGCATCTGCTCAGGGAATTACAAAGTATTAATCACTGACAAAAAATAAAATAAATGTGGAAATTAGTTGATACAATTGCGTCAAGTATTCACTTTGGTTCCTACTCGGCTCTGATGGGGGGGAGAGCAGCCAGATGACAGAACGCGCTCAGGAATGGAGCCATCTTTCTCCGCCAGCCGGGGAGTTGAGAGTACTTCATATGAGGAGGAAAAACAAAGAGAGGGTCACAAAATTAATGGCAGCAATAACTGCAAATCCACACTCAGGCAGCCAGCAGCAGTAAAGACAGCAGACTGAGGAAAAGTGGTCCTGATGCCTGAGGGATGGCTCGAAATAACCTGTTTATATGCAGACCCATTCAATAAATTCGAATATTGTTGAAAAGTCCGTTTATTTTACGGAGTTTATCACCGCGACGCATTATATAGATGAATTTCACACGTCGCTCTCTTCAGAATACGTTGATTTTCAGAAAATATGACATTCTGAAAATTGAAAGGCGGGCCTAATGAGAAGCGTGTTTTTACAAAGGTTGTGATTTTCTAAAAGGTTCTTTTTGCCTGACGAGCGAGACTCACTGGGACGTGTGCTCTAATTTATTGCATGACTGAGTTTTTAGTGAAAAAGAAAACTTTGAAGCCTACGCAAAAAAAAAAAGAGAAAAAAGTAAAGAGAGAAGCATTTTGTCACCATGGCAGAGTTGGAAACGGGGACAACCAAAGTACAAAATAAGAACCCAGACATGCTTATAGTCTAATTACTACCTGGTTTGATCCATGCAGTTTCATCAATAAATTCAGAAATTTCTCTACAAACGCTGTAAAAAAAACAAATACAAATAAATAACTCCCACAGACGTCAAGCCAGACAACACATTTTCTCCTATAAGTCAGATCAATCGTTAGATCAATGAAGATTGTTTACCCATTTTGACAACCAGACCTACAGAACGTCACACAACGGGGACAAGAAACAGACACGAAACTTCGCTCTACTTAAATGTCTGATTTTAATCGTGTGGTAAATTCGAGTATCAACAGAATAACAATGGGACTTTATCGTATGTCGTTGAATAATGTATCCAGCGGAATCATCATCAAAAAAGAAAAAAAAAAAGTTGTTCTAAGCACTCAGCCCTGTGGAACTCCATGACAGCCATGACTGAGCACTTTTTCCAGTTTCTACAATTTGAAGTTAAATCATAGAATCATTTACCAACCGGCAATGTTTCAGTGGTTTATAAACTCATCCTTAAGACGCCCTAAGTTGCACAATGTCAGATTAAATCTGAACAAGAGAAACCGCATATCAACCGGCGTTTCTTTCTCGGCTTTCAGTGTTTGTTTCATCATTAATTGTCCTGCAGGTACAAACAAACGATGACACGAACTATGTCAGGGCTGTCCTCTCATACACTCTAAAGTGTATTTGGGCTGTAGTTAATGTTATGGCCTTTTTTACATTAACCTGACTTAATTGTTTGGCTTTAGTTATGTCAACTTACTTTCATGAGTTCAATTAACTTAAAAGACACACATTTCATCTAAAACAAACGGTTAACTTTGAGTTGACGTGAACCAATTAAGTTGAATGCAGTTTTACGTCTGACGTCATTACGCAAGCTTTGCCCGAGACAGATCCACTTCTTGTACCGACCGCTTGTGCAGCCGCCATTTCTTCTGACCATCGACTGTCCACCAGATTGTAAAACAGTAAGTATTCTACACATCATGGCAAAATATTATAAACGGTGTAAAAATATTAATGACTTTTTCTACCTTTAATTTGAAACAGTTAACTGTTTTTAACGTCGAAGTATCATCAGTTATTTGCTTTGAACACATTTGCTAGTTGTAATTTGCCGCGCTATTCGGCATGTTTGAACTTAACTGCTCTGTTAGTTAGTGAACGTTTTTTTGAGTGTGTAATTTTTATTTGACCCTAAAGAACTTAAATAGCTGGAAGCCGGGTATGTAGTGAAAAACATGAAATGTGATTTAGACTGGAGACGTTCAGGGCTGGTGCTGGTGGACCGAGAACTGCTGGGTGTTCCGGTCGGAAGCTAGACTGGGTCAAAGTGGGAGCAGCTAATGCACTGCAGTGGTGGCCAGATTTTATAACAAGAACTACTGGACAGGTTGATTTTTTATGGGTAACTTAACGTACAGTTACGGAGGTGTTAGTGTTATACGCAAAACTAATTTAATGTGACGCAACTGCGCTCTGCTTGTCACTTGTCACCGTGAGCTGCGGTCAGGGAAGCCATTTGTTCCAATTGTCAGCCTGCTTACTGACGACATGATATAAAACGCATAATATCCTGACTGCGCTAATAATCCATAAGATGTCTTTTTCTTAAAAAAGCAAAAACAAAATAAGCAATTCATGTTTGTAGGAACTTTGAGTTAATTTCTCTTTCCCACTCTCCAGGCCTGGAGCCAAGCATCATCAGACCATAGAAGGTAAGCCATATTTGCTTCACTAAGCTTCTAATTTAGAAAAAAAAGTTTAGTTTATTAGTTAATATGCTGTATTGTATCAATAATATGAAAAACATATACTCTAAACTAATTCAAAAATAGTTTCGATAAATAACATCATTTTAAAGTAAAAGGAATAATAGGTGGTCAAAGAACGAGATCAAATTAATTTCCTCCAAAGGGTTGATGAGCTCTCACTCAACATGGGTCAGAAGCTCAGTCATCTCGGAGAGGCTGAGATTAGAGCTGTTGCTCCTCTACATCCAGTGGAGCCATTTGAGGCGGCTCGCGCATCTGATTAAGATGCCTCCTGGAAGCCTCCCTGGTGATGTTTTCTGGGCACGGCCTGCCAGGAGGAGGCCATTGTAGTGGGACTA